AATCTCACTTATATGTGGAATCTAAAAAAGTTGAACTTACAGAAGTAGAGAGTAGAATGCTGGTTACCAGAGGCTGGAGGTTGGAAGTGGGTACTGCAGAGATATTGATCAAAGGGTACAAAGTTTTAGTTACACAGAAGGAATAAGTTTTTGAGATCTATTGCACCACATAGTGTCCATAGTTAATAATAATGTATTACATATTTCAACACTATTAGAAGAGTAGATTTGAAATGTTCTCACTCCAAAAAATAATAGGTACTTGATGTAATACGTAAATTAGCTTGATATGATCATTCCACAGTGTATACATAGATCAAAACATTACATTGTATTCTGTAAGTATACACAATTATCTGTAAATTAAAAATAAATATTAAAAAAGAATACTACTATTGCATAGTAAGTACTAGATATAAAACATTTTATTAATATTAACTTTGTTTCAAAATGACAGACACTGATAACCTGAAGAAGTATACCAAATTTGGTCAACTCTACCCATTCCTTCAAAATCACTGTGGAGCAAACATATGAACAGGATAAAAGACATTAAATGTCAAATATTTGAATAAAAAATTTCATTCACATTCTACAAAAGATGGTTATGAAAGTATTATTCAGTGCAAAGTTTTAGTTCTGAACTTGGAATTGTGTATAATAAAAGGAGTTTTACAGATTACCATTGCAAACCTGGTGCTATTCAACTGAAAAATAGCAATAATAAATACTCCAGTTAACATACCTTGAAAGCATCCACTTGTCTCCACTCCTTAAGAAGCCTCACTAAAACAAAGATAAAGAATGTAAAAAAGGGGGACAGAGGGACCATATACTCATAGGAACAAAGAAAACAGGAGAAGAGACAATAGAAAAATGCCACAAAAGTTTAGAAATCAGTTGACCGGGGTTGAGTCGCATCCACGCCCCCACAAAGGATACATTGACTGTGACCTTATTTGGAAATAGGGTCTGTGCGGATGTGATCAAAATAAGATAAAGTGACATCCAGGTATAGTGGCTCACGCCTGTAATCCCAGCATTATGGGAGGCCAAAGCGGGTGGATCGCTTGAGGTCAGGAGTTCAAGACCAGCCTGACCAACATGGTGAAACCCTGTCTCTACTAAAAATAAAAAAAAACTAGCCGGGCGAGGTGGCGGGCGCCTGTAGTCCCAGCTACTGGGGAGGCTGAGGTAGGAGAATCACTTGAACCTGGGAGGCAGAGGTTGCAGTGAGCTGAGATGGCACCACTGCACTCTAGCCTGAGCGACAGAGCGAGACTCCATCTCAAAACAAAACAAAACAAAACAAAAATCTAAAAGTGATACTGGATTAGCCTGGGCCCTAATCTAATAACTGCTGTCCTTACAAAAAGAGAGAAAGTTAGACACAGGCAGATGCACAGGGAAAACACGTCATGACAGAGGCAGAGATTGGAGTGATTCATCTGCAAGCCAAAGAATGCCCAGAATTGCCAGGAGTCACCAGAAGCTAAGGCAAAGGCATGGCACAGACTGTCCCTCAGAGTCCCCAGAAGGAACCAACCTCCTGACACCTTGATTTCTGATTTGTAGCCTCCATAACTGTGAGGGAATACATTTCCATAGTTTTAAGCCACCCAGTTTGTGGTAATTGTATGGCAGCTTTAGGGAGCTAATATACTGGTGAACATATGGACTTACCAGAGAAAACTGAAACCCAGGTGTTTTCAGAGGTGATGCCTGGAAGCAAGCTCACTGACACGCAGAACCTCGCAAAGGCTCAGGAACTGGAAGTACCATACCTCTTCAGTGGGATGAGCTGAAAAGAGACCATTAAAAGTCCCAGAAGCAGTTAAGACTCCTAGATTTCCTTCCCTGGCAAAGCCAGGGAAATGTTCTCTATCCCTCATTCCCAACCTGAAACCTGCAAAATTATTTCTTTTGGGAGATACGGAACCAGGATATGGATTCAGGGACACCAGACACAGCTGAAGGTAAAAATGCTATTACGAAACAGTGGTGTAAGTGAAGGTATGCATGATAATTAAATCTTTTCTTTTTTTTTTTTTTTTTTTGGAGACAGAATCTCACTCTGTCACCCAGGCTGGAGTGCAGTGGTGCAATCTCAGCTCACTGCAACCTCCGCCTGGGTTCAAGTGATTCTTGTACCTCAGCCTTCTGAGTAGCTGGGACTACAGGCCCATGCCACCACGCCTGGCTAATTTTTGTATTTTAAGTAGAGACTGTGTTTCACCATGTTGGCCAGGCTGGTCTCGAACTCCTGACCTCAAGTGATCCATCCTCCTTGGCTTCCCAAAGTGCTGGGATTACAGGCATGAGTCACCACGCCTGGTGGAGAGTTAATTTTATGTGTCAACTTGACTGGACCATAGGATGCCCATGTATCTGGTTAAACAGTATTTCTGAGTGTCTATGAGGGAACTGAGTAAAAGAGATTAACCTCACCTATGTGGGTGGGCATCATCTTATTCATTCGGGGTCTGAATAAAACAAAAAGGTAGAGGAAGGGAGGATTCACTTTCTTCTAGACTTCTTCAACTGAACCTTGATCTTTTACCACCCTTGGTGATCCTGGTTTGCAGGACTTCAAACTTGGACTGGAATCTACACCATCGGCTCTCTAGTTGTCAGGGCTTCAAACTACAACATGGGCTTTCTGGGTCTTCAGCTTACAGACAGCAGATTGTGGGGCTTCTCAACCCCCATAATCACATGAGCTAACAGATAGATATAGGTACAGATATAGATATCTATTCATTCTGTTTCTCCAGAAAACCCCCAACTAATACCGTGCATCAGTGCATATAATGAAATTACTAAGACTCTCAGCCTCCTTCCCGTGCCAAGAAGGCTGTATATTCTCAAAGCAAGTAAATAGAAAATTACTCTCTAGAAGAAAATAAATAGCTGGTCTTTGCCCCATCATCTTACATCTTGTTCAGCAGTGAACAAGCCTTGCCTATGTCCCCAAAACACCTTTTTAGAGCATCAACTTTTACATATAAATTGACAGCAAGGATCACTACACAAGATGAAGAATGCCTCTAGCACAAACGACAGGGACCAAATATAAACAAACAACCAAAAAAAAAAAAAAAACCACTCAAAAGAATCAAAGTCAATGCAGAGTTATGTAGAAAGCCTTTTAAAAGCCCTATAATTTACATCTTCAGAGATAGGAGCTATATTCATAAAAAATAATGTAATGCTATAAAAGAACAAAGAATAAAAACTGCACTTAGAAATGAAGGTATAATAAACGAAATAAAGTAATCTGATAGTCATTTGTCCAATTAAGTTGAAAAAGTCACAGAGAAAGTAGAATGAAAAGATGAAGAGATAGAAAATAGGACAGACAGGTAAGAAAAAACATCAGCCAAGAAGGTCTACAATCTAAATAACAAATTTCAAAAAATAACAGATACAATAAGAGAGGGCGGGAAGAAATGATCAAATAAATAATATCAGGAGAATCCCCATAACTGAAAAGCATGTGTTTCAGGATTGAAAAACTGATCAATAGGAATGCAAAAAGACCCGTAAGCAAGACACTCGATTGTGTCTTAGAAAACTGGGAATAAAGAGAAGATCCTAAAGCTTCTTGAGACAAAACAAAACAGAAACCAAAGCAGGTTACATATCAAGAAATTTAGCGACCTGTGAAGGAGAAGGAAAAGCAATGACGTAGAGTTTCTCAACAATTCTGGGAGCTAAAATATTGTGGAGCAAGTCCTCCAATATTCCGAGTGAAAGTTATTTTCAACCTAGAACTCTGTGCTCAGCCAGAATAAAAACAGTTCCAGACATGCACGCTCTGTGGGAAAAAAGACCTGGAAGCAACCTCCCTCAAGGAACTATTGGCGGATACGTTCCACAACATGAGGGTATATAATCAAGAAAAAGACACACATTCAGGAAATAGGAAACTCACCTCCAGGAATGAGGAATAAGACCTTCCCAGGATGGATGTGAAGGAGACCCAAGGACATCAGTTGAGAGCTGTGCCTTCCAAATTTTGATGTGCATAGGAATTACCAGGGGATCTTGTTGCAATACAGATACTGATTCAGAAAGTCTGGGTACGGCCTAAAATTTGGCGGGTTTTTTTGTTTGTTTTGTTTTTTTTTTTTTTTGAGACGGAGTCTCGCTCTGTCGCCCAGGCTGGAGTGCAGTGGCCGGATCTCAGCTCACTGCAAGCTCCGCCTCCCGGGTTTACGCCATTCTCCTGCCTCAGCCTCCCGAGTAGCTGGGACTACAGGCGCCCGCCACCTCGCCCGGCTAAGTTTTTTTTGTATTTTTTAGTAGAGACCGGGTTTCACCGTGTCAGCCAGGATGGTCTCGATCTCCTGACCTCGTGATCCGCCCGTCTAGGCCTCCCAAAGTGCTGGGATTACAGGCTTGAGCCACCGCGCCCGGCCAAATTTGGCGTTTTTAACAAATTCCCTCAGGATGCTGGGGCTGCTGGTTCAGAGACTACACTCTGCGTATCAGGGGTGTAGAGAAAAAAACAGTCCAAATTGTACCAAGACGACGACGGTACAGAGACAGAGACAGACATTTATTTCCATCTCGGAGATAATCGGGAATGAATTAGTGTAAGTCAATAACCGTATAGTAGGGGAGGGAGAGGGATGGAGGACAAGGAGAAAAGGATTAATATTTCACGTAAACATAAATGAAGAAAAAACAAGGAAGGGGCTGTATTGAGGGCAGCCGCATACATCCAACCTTGCCTCTAGTAGACACCTGAAGAGGAAGGTTGGACCACCCTAACGGATTCAGATTCAGTAGTCTGGGGGGCGTCTCTGGAGTGACCCTGGAAGATGCTCCAGAAAGCCTAGATGCGGACCATAAGGACAGAAGACGCCCCTTTCCCTGCCCAGCAGGGTAGTAGGCAGGGCCTCAAAGCGCCCGGCGCCAGGCCTCAGGGGGCGGGGCATGGGCGGAGCCTTTTCCCTAAATTGGCGCGCCCGAGCGGCGCTGGGATTCGGATTGGAGGCTTTGGAACCCGGAAGCAGTTGGCAGCTCTCGAAAGCGGCCGCGGATCGGGGAATTCTGCTGGCGCCACCGCTGCAGAATGGTGGGCGGCGGCACGATGCGCAGGCCCGGCGCGGGGGCGGGGTCGCAGATACTGCCAGAAAGGGTGTGCGGGCAACGCGGGTCACTTTGGGTGACAGCCAGGGCACCAGGAGGCACCGCGTTTCAGTCATGCAGTGACTGTTAAGCTTGCTGTGTGTCCGGGGGCCGCGGTTTGCTGCGGGGACCCTGCCCAGGGTTGCTGTTTAGCGCTCTGTAGGGGGTTGGACCAGGAAAGTAGCGCCTCTGCATATTCTGCCCAGCTCCTCTTGGCGCATTTCCTGGGGAAACTGATTAAGCCAACCCACGTTTCATTCATTCGCCCAGCCAGATAGATTGGGAACCGATTACATACCAGACATTGTGCGGGGCGCTGCGGATTTGGGGTCAACCCGCCTGTCCCTGCTCAGTGTAGAGTCTCCGGCCTGGGGAGGAGGAGCACAAGCGAATATGCATTCTACTGTGACTTTTTTGTTTGGGATTATAACGCTGGTGTGTAGAAAGTGCCGTGGAAACACTGAAGGAGGATTTAACAAGTCCCAGGGGGTGTTAAAGAAGACTTTTAAGACAACTCTTTGAAAATGGGTTTTAAAGGCAGAGAAGTAAGAGTCTGAGACGTAAAAGTGTAGGAGATATTTGAGCATAGCGGAGCGTTCGGCTTGGTTGGAGCCAGGGAAATGAGAAAGCAAGAGGGACCTGATCATAAAAACACTATGAGAGGGGAAGGGGAAAAAGTATGTGCATTATCTCATACTTTACTACGATTTCGGAAGTTATGTAACCACTACAGTAGCAATAAGGGGAATCAGGAAAGAACTGCCATTGTGGTAACTAAAGTTTTAGAAAACTTAGTCTGGCAATGTTATAAATCAGACACAGTGGGACATTCTTGGAGGGCTTAATGAACTAGTAAAGGGCCATGTGTATAGGCATTCTTCATATTGGGTCATGCATTCTAGGAATACCAGGGTAAAGGAGAAATGCAGCCTCTGAAGGGGACAGCTCTCCTAAATTCTAGTTGTTAGGGATATGGAGATGCTGAACTAGTGTGTGAGTTAAGGCAGAGCTGAAAAACTTCTCTCTGAAGGTTTAGTGAAGAACTACTTTGGTGACCTGAGGTGCTTAACTAGAAATACAATACCACACATGAAGGCAAGTCTATAGAGACTATAACCATAATGGCTAGCATTTGCATATTATGTGCCAGGACTGTTCTGTGTATTTTTACATATAATAACTTATTCCTTGTAACAATCCTATGATAGAGATACTGTATGCTCTTTTTGCAGATGAGAAAACAAGGCACAGAGAGTTTAAGTAACTTGCCTAAGGTTGGAAATCAGATGGAAATACGTAGGGTCAGGAGTCGACCCAGGCGACCTAACCTTTAAGCAAAACTGCCTTTTAGCAAGGCAGATTAAGCCTTTTCTGACATCTTCAGTTGGAGCCAGTCTTTGAAAGTCTGACCAAAGACAGTTATAAAAACGGAAGATAGGATAGCTCAGGACTTCATATGTTCCTACTGTTCTATATTTGCAGTTGGAGAAGCAACATAATGAAGTGGTTGAGAATCTGCTGTGGCGCCAGGAGAGTTACTGCAATTACTAAAGACAATTTGGAGAACGGAAGTTTTGTGTGCCAATTTTCAGTGTGAAAAAACAGTTGGATGTAAAGAAAAGTAAATTCTGTGAAGCTGATGTCTCCAATGACCTTCGAAAAGAAGTAGAAAATCATTATAAGCTCTCTTTACCTGAAAATTTCTTTCACTTCTGGAAGTTCTGTGAAGAACTTGATTCTGAAAAACCAGCTGGTGAGTTGCTCCAGAATCATTCTTGTATAAATGGAAAAAGTAATGTAATAGGAAAATGGGATGGGTATGGTGGCTCACACTCTGTAATCCCAGTTGAGGCAGGAGGATTGCCTGAGACCAGAAGTTTGAGACCAACCTGGTCAACACAGCAATACCTCTTCTCTACAAAAAAATAAAAATAAATAAAATAAAATAAAAAACTAGGCATGGTTGCATGTGCCTATAGTCCTAGCTACTTGGGAGACTGAGGTGGGGGGATCCTTCATTGAGCCTAGTAGTTCGAAGTTGCAATGAGCTATGATCACACCAGCCTCAGTGACAGAGCAAGACCCTGTCTCTAAAAAATATAATTGGCCAGGCATGGTGGCTCACACCTGTAATCCCAACACTTTAGGAGGCTAAGGCAGGCAGATCACTTGAAGTCAGGAGTTCGAGACCAGCCTGGGCAACACGGTGAAACCCTGTCTCTACTAAACATACAAAATTTAGCTGGGTGTGGTGGCGCATGCCTGTAGTCCCAGCTACTCGGGAGGGTGAGGCACAATCATCACTTGAACCTGGGAGGTGAAGGCTGCAGTGAGCCGAGATTGTGCCACTGCACTCCAGCCCAGGCAACAGAGCTAGACCCTGTCTCAAAATATATATATATATATATATAAAATAATTTTTTTAAAAAACCTAACCAAGAATATTAACAGCTCATAGAAAAGGAATATTTTCCAAGATGTTTCTAGTAAGAGAAAATATAGTAAGAAATATAGATTAATGCTATAATAATGCCACTGTCACCTATTTTATTGGCAAAGGTAAATAATTTCATCACGTTCTGGGGGAATGTGAAGGAAAGTAAGCACTTTCATATGTTGCAGGACTTTGAATATGATTTAACAGTTCTGCTTCCAAGAACTTGTCTTATGGATTAGATAAACTAAGAATTATGTTTGAGGATATTTAAACAAAAAAATGGGAAATGGCTTAAATGCCTACCAATAATACATATATTCAGTAGATCTTAATTGTTTTAAAAGAATGAGGCAGATTTTTAGGAAATAATAAACTATCATGCCTGAAATATGTTAAGTGAAAAAGAACAGTGTATAGAGTATGCTACCATTAGTACTTTTTTAAAGGGGGAGGGGGAGTATACACATATCCCTATATACTTTTCTATGTGCTTACTTTGTCTCTGAAAGGAGAAAGAAACTCTTAATGGGCTATGATCATTACTTTGCATTATATACCTTTTGCACTGTTTTAATTTTTTAACTAGTAAGCACTGTCACACATTATTGGTGGAAATGTATATTTATACATATTCTGAATTTTGCCAATAGATCAGAACTGTGTAGCAGTTTCTTTGAAAAGTCATGTCTGTGTACAAACATTAGCAAAGATGTTCACTGAAACATTTTTAGAACAGAAAAAAGAAATAGTAAATGTCCATCAGTAAAAGAATAGATGGTTACCTCTTTATAATGCAGTATCATGCCCTATTAAAAATCATGTAAAATAACATTGAATAGCATGGAAAATATTTGGAAAGTTTAAGTGGGTCAGGATGGAGGACAAAAGCAGATTACAAAACAATCCATCTCAGTTTGTTACATATTTGTATCTGTTCATGGGCGTGGAGAGTATGGAAATTTGTTACTGTATACTAGACTATTAACTGTGTTATCTTTGACTAATGAGATGGATGGTTTTAGTTTTCTTGTTGCTTTAAAAATTAGTATATGCTCTCCTAAACTCCACTTGAGCTGAACAATTTTTCCTGTCCAATTATCTCCATGCTTCTATTCACGTTATTACCTCTTACAGGAATTTTTTTGCTTTCTTCATCCTTGCCTCCTTATAAAGGGTCCTGCCTGGTGTTCTCCCCTCCCTCTTAGAAGCAGCAAGGACCCATTTGAAGTTATACATTGTACACTGCACAGACTTCATGTCTTTGTGGTTTAGTAGTACTGACTGTGATCTGTGAATAGAGAAGGGAGATGGAATCATCTAGGGTTAGGGTTGGCCAAATAGATTGTCAAAGAGTCAAGGGAATCTGGTGTGCTAGCTGAGGCAGAGGAAAGAGGGATAAGAAATGTTTTTTACTTTTTTTTTTTTTGGAGACAAAGTCTCGCCCTGTCACCCAGGCTGGAGTGCAATGGCATGATCTCATTTCACTGCAACTTCTGCCTCCTGGGTTCAAATGAATCTTGTACCTCAGCCTCCCAAGTAGCTGGGATTACAGGCATAAGCCACCACACCTGGCTAATTTTTGTATTTTTAGTAGAGACGGGGTTTTGCCATGTTGACCAGGCTGGTCTGAAACTCCTGACCTCAGGTGATCAGCCTGCCTCACGCTCCCAAAGTGCTGGGATTACAGGTATGAGCCACCGTGCCTGGCCTGTTTTTTACTATTCTTAATCCACACATTTTTGCTATCTTTCTCTCCCTTAATCTGTGTGTACTACAAGTAGTTGAGGCTAATTGCAGTGTAGTAATGGGCCTGTAGGAATAAAAACCAGTCTTGCTTTGGCTAAAATAAGAAACAACAGGATTGTTTGAGATGTTAAGTTAATACAGTGGTAAATTTCAGAGGAAATCCTAAATGTAAATGCCACTTTTCTGTTACTCTGACTTCTTTTCCATTGAATGTTTGTAACTGACATCTTCACACATAACTCAAGATTTTCTTTTACTTTAGAAACTTTTTTAAGACAATTGCTTAGAAATAGTTTACTCACTAAAAGCATTATTTCCTATCTGTCTGCAGAAAGTATTGTCTAAATTTATTTGCTTTATAGATCCACTTTCTGTAAGCCTTTGACTTCAGTTAGTTGGTCCTTATGATATCCTTGCTGGAAAACATAAAATGAAGAAAAAATCAACAGGCCCGAATTTTAACCTTCATTGGAGGTTTTACTATGATCCTCCTGAGTTCCAAACCATTATTATTGGAGATAAACTCAGTACCACATTGGGTATTTCAGGTAAAGGATCTTTTCTTTGCCTCTAAAATACAGCTGCTGTCCTGCTAATGAGGATAAATAGTTATTTATTAGCCTCACCCAAGGTGAAAGGCACATTTTCCCCTATTGGTGGATATATGAGCCATCTGTTGTTCTTGCTGTTACCATTTTAACCTTCCCTAGGATGGGTAAACTCTTTAGGTTTAATCTCACTGGTTCTTCCTTTCCTTGTAAACTTTTTTTCTCTTTTGGGTTCAGAAGAACTCTTTTGGCCCAAGATAATTTAGAGCAGCTGTTGTGACTTGTGCTTAATAAGCTATGTGCTTCCTGGTGCCAGAGTGGCAACTGGGAACTAAGAGTGATCTCTGGAGTCACACTGGTCCTCTTGTTTATTATCTGTGTGATCCTGTATCATTAGTGACTGTGACTTTCTGTGACTCAGTTTCCTGTCTTGTAACAATAGGGATAATTGTACATATGTGATAGGAATATTATGAGAATTAAATGAATGCATACAAGATACCTAGAAGGTGAGGAAATAGAGAAACTCCACTTGTCTGCTTGTACCAGTAGAGATGCTATCCTTTAAAGTGAAGATTAAATGTAAGGTAATAGAAGAAATGTGTCCAGGAAGAAGTACTGTAGTACAGTAGAATGCACATGATGCTAGGAATTGAATTATACTGTAGCCAAGTATTTATCATATAAATGATACATCTGATTTTAAACACTTGTTAAGAGTCCATTACTTGTGTATAATTCAAACGGAAAGGTTTAATGTAGTCAAGATTTATCATAGATGTTCCTAAGAAACTTGGAGCTTAAAACAATAAATTTGTTTCAATTTTAAAAAATGCCCTTATAAAAGAGGCCTTTAAAAAGAGGGAAAAAAATAGGGGTAAATTGTCTGTAGACCTAAAATCCCACTGATAATATAAATTATGGGCAGCTAAATTTTTAATGTCTTTTGCTTAAACAGGGATTCTCCTGATGAACTTCTTGTATATGTTGGTATAAATGAAGCAAAGAAAAATTGTATAATTGTTCCAAATGGAGATAATGTATTTGCAACAGTCAAGTAAGAATATTTTATCTCAAATTCTCTGATGTTTATGTAAGTTTACAATTTTTATACTACATTAGTCCATTACAAAGCGGGTTTGCGGGCCTGGGCACAGTGACTCACACCTGTAATTCCAGCACTTTGGGAGACCAAGGTGGGCGCATTGCTAAGGTCTGGACTTCGAGCCCAGCCTGGCCAACATGGAGAAACCCCATCTCTACTAAAAATACAAAATTAACCAGGGGCATGGTGGCACACGCCTGTAATCCCAGCTACTCAGGAGGCTGAGGTAGGAGAATCGCTTGAACACAGGAGGTGGAGGTCGCAGTGAGCCGAGATTGTGCCACTGCACTCCAGCCTGAGCGACAGAGTGAGACTCCATCTCCAAAAAACAAAACAAAGCAGGTTTGAGGCAAGCCTATAACTGTAGATTTCTAAAGATAATTTCCACGACTTTTGAAGGAAGTCTTATCTATACTGTTATTTTGTCACTCTTCACCAAAAAATACACGTTTTATGTAACTATTTTGCTTAATACTCAACCTCAGATGTTCCATGGCAAAATCAAAAGATTTTTTAGACATCTACTTTTAAACACTTGTTAAGAGTTCATTACTTGTGTATAGTTCAAACAGAAAGGTTTAGAAGTAAAAAGAGATGGTCATAAAATCCTTGGAATGGCTGAGGGGACAGGCTGAGCTTCCAGGAATGACAGTTGTGTGGCTCACAGTGGATTTTATGTCTCTGCCACCACCACCATCAGGAAGCTGGGAAATCAAGAACTGCTGCCACAATGGGTGGCTCTAGGACCATATTATCTTGGGTATAACCTGTACCAGGTAAATGGATGCCTTACCCGTTGCCTCTCAGCCCCCATAGAGCTAAGCACCAGGTGCTGGGATCTCAGCTACAGCTGCTGAACTATCAGATGCCTCTACAGCTGTGCTCACTGATGGAGACCGTGGAAGCACAGCCTCCAC